TCGCAGCTTCCTGGTCCGGTTCGGGCCAGGACCCACTTCAACTCAGTCGTTAACCGGATGGACGAGTCCAATTCGAAGAGTTACGGCGTGATTGTCAATAGCTTCCTCGAGCTGGAGGGCGAATTCGCCGAGCATTATCGGGACTCGCTCAGCGGGCGAGCTTGGCACGTCGGTCCGGTCTCGCTTTCCCACAGGATTGAGGATCGAGATCGCCGTCACTGGTTAAACTGGTTGGACTCAAAAGAGCGTGACGCGGTCATTTATGTGTGTTTCGGTAGCCAGGCTAACTTTTCTACGAGTCAACTTAACGAGTTAGCATCAGGTCTTCTAGACTCGAATCATTATTTTATTTGGATCGTACGAAAGGAAAGCCCGCAACTACTATTGGACAGTGAATTATCAGAAAGCAACAAAGGGATCGTAATTAGAGGGTGGGCACCACAGCTGCGTATTCTTAATCATGAATCAATCGGAGGATTCGTGACCCACTGCGGGTGGAATTCTGTGATGGAAGGGGTGAGCACGGGTAAACCCATGGTGACCTGGCCCGTGTTCGGAGACCAAGCGGTCAATGAGAAGCTTGTTGTGGATGAGTTAAAGATCGGAGTCAGAGTCGGAGCTAGAATAAAAGATGAGAGCGAGAAAGAACCACCTTTAATAAAGAGCGGAGATATTGTGAGAGCAATAAAGAAAGTAATGGGAAAGGATGAGGAGGAGGTGATGAGGATGAGGAGGAAGGCGAAGAAGCTAGGAGAGGAAGCAAGAAGGGCAGTGGAGGAGGGAGGATCATCTTGGAGGGAGATGCAACGTTTAGTTGAAGATTTGATGAGTTTAAATAAGGATTTGGTTACATGATCATAGTTAGCCTGTTCGAGATTTGCGCTTGAGTTATACAGGTGATATTTAACACGAAATAAATGTAAGTCATGTTTCTATAATGCTTCCGAAAGTGGTTCTTATAATTACAATTAATTACTTCTCTTTCTTAATTTTGGAAGTAGAGGTCTGCGCGCACTCTACTTTTTGATAATAGAGGACCTAAAAGCAATCCATAGTTATATGTGGTCCCAATTGAGGAGAAGTGTCATTATTTTGTTATACGTGTGGGCATTGGTTAAACATGTTTTGGGTTATAAACCCATATCCACATATTAATATTGTATATCGTCGCACAACTATACAAAATATTCTAACTCTTTCACTATAGCAGATGTTATTGATGAGACTTTGAAGGTTTCTATCACTGCACTAAAAAATTGTTAAAAGGGTTAAAAAGAGTTTAGATTTAAGGGAAAAATGCTTCTAGCCCCCAAAAGCCAGGTGAACGTGCTTCTCACCCTCAAGACTTGGTCAATGGGCGTTTTACCCCTAAAAATAAAGAATCTGTTCTCTGAGCCCCCAAAACACAAAACCCAAGACATTAAAATATGTGAAGACCGTAATACCCTTCTCTCTCTCTTTCTTTTTTTATTAAAATATGATGAGGGTTATTTTATTATTTTTGTTTTTCTCTCTCTCTTTATCATGATGTACCAAGAGGATAGTTGAAATGATTGATGAGGATTATTTTATTATTTTCGTTTTTTATTAACCTTAACAATTAAACCCGTAACCTTAACAATTAAACACGTAACCTTAACAATTAAACCCGTAACCTTAACAACAAATCCGTAACCTACACAACAAATCCACAACCTTAACAACAAACCCTTAACCTTAACAACCAACCCGTAACCTTAACAATCAACCCGTAACTTTAACAACCTCCCAATACAAACAACCAAAATAATAAAAAACGAAAATAATAAAATAATCCTCATCAATCATTTCAACTATCCTCTTGGTACATCATGATAGAATATTCGTTGTTAAGGATAATGGTTGGTTGTAAAGGTTATGCATTGATTGTTAAGGTTACGGGTTGGTTGTTAAGGTTAAGGGTTTGTTGTTAAGGTTATGGGTTTCTTGTGTAGGTTACGGATTTGTTGTTAAGGTTACGGGTTTAATTGTTAAGGTTACGTGTTTACTTGTTAAGGTTACGGATTTAATTGTTAAGGTTACGTATTTAATTGTTAAGGTTACGTATTTAATTGTTAAGGTTACAGGTTTAATTGTTAAGGTTACGGGTTTAATTATTATGGTTACAGTTTTAATTGTTAAGGTTATGGATCCCTTCTCTCTCTCCCTCGTAACCTTAACAATTAAACCCGTAACCTTAACAATTAAACCGTAACATTAACAATTAAACCGGTAATCTTAACAATTAAACACATAACCTTAACAATTAAACCTATTTTAATAAAAAAAGAAAGAGAGAGAGAGAGGATTCATAACCTTAACAACAAACCCTTAACCTTAACAACCAACCCGTAACCTTAACAATCAACCCGTAACTTTAACAACCTCCCAATACAAACAACCAAAATAATAAAAACCGAAAATAATAAAATAATCCTCATCAATCATTTCAACTATCATCTTAGTACATTATGATAAAGAGAGAGAGAAAATAAAAATAATAAAATAATCCCCATCATATTTTAATAAAAAAAGAAAGAGAGAGAGAGAGGATTCATAACCTTAACAATTGACCTGTAACATTAACAATTAACTCGTAACCTTAACAATTAACCCGTAACTTTAAGAACCTCCCAATACAAACAACCAAAATAATAAAAAACAAAAATAATAAAATAATCCTCATCAATCATTTCAACTATCCTCTTGGTACATCATGATAAAGAGAGAGAAAAACAAAAATAATAAAATAATCATCATCATATTTTAATAAAAAAAGAAAGAGAGAGAGAGAGGATTCATAACCTTAACAATTGACCCGTAACATTAACAATTAACTCGTAACCTTAACAATTAACCCGTAACTTTAACAACATCCCAATACAAACAACGAAAATAATAAAAAACAAAAATAATAAAATAATCATCATCAATCATTTCAACTATCCTCTTGGTACATCATGATAAAGAGAGAGAGAAAACAAAAATAATAAAATAAGCCTCATCATATTTTAATAAAAAAAGAAAGAGAGAGAGAAAGATATTATGGTCTTCACATGTTTTAATGTCTTGGGTTTTGTGTTTTGAGGGCTCAATGAACAGATTCTTTATTTTTAGGGGTAAAACGCCCATTGACCAAGTCTTGGGGGTGGGAAGCACGTTCACTTGGCTTTTGGGGGCTGGAAGCATTTTTCCCTAGATTTAAATGTTTCAGCAATGCTTTCTATTTTGAGTCGTACGCATTCTAATGAGAAGGCGAACCCATATCATGTGGACTCTGATTAACTAACAGCTCTTTAGACGTGCATACGTTTGCTAACATGACAATATTTTTTGAGTAGTAACTACTAGCTCGAATTAAGCTAGTTAATAAGAATCAAGTGAACAGTGCCGACGACGTCAATGTTACTTATCAAAAAAGACAACATTCAACTACATAATTTTAGCTTTGATGTTACTATCTTCATTATGAAGAGTTAAAAGATTTGCTTTGAAATCTTCATATTTATAATATCTATTCTTGAAACCTAAGTTATTATATTACACAAACTCTATCCAGTTATATGTAAAAATTATTTCTTATAAATTCAAGTCAATTAAAGAGTAGCATAATAACACTTCGTTTTCTCTGTCTTGATGGGCAAGAGCAATATCCCTAGAGATCAGCGACCGAACACTGGCATCTAGTATTTTAAAAACTTATTTCATTTGTACTTTCACATATTTTTCTGTAAGGGGCTAGTTGGTTCTTTTCTTAAAAGAATATAATAAAATAAAATAAAATTTGAGTTTCCCACGTGTTTTCTTTGCCTATTTGGTTGGCTTCTTGAAAAAAAGGGAAATGGAAAACTATGCTAAAAAATCATTTGTTGTGCATTTTTGTGGGTTTCTTGGGAAAACTTTGTGTGTAGTGTTTGTTTCACACGGAAAAAATTGAGTGAAAATGCCTTTTCTCTCTCTATGTATGTAGTTTGGTTTGAAATAGAAAAAGAGCGAAGCATTTGAGTTGGAAATGTATTTGTTTAAACCCCAAAAAAATAAAGCACTTGATTGGTTAGTGTGGCATTTTTAATAGTTTTTAATACATTTCCATTCCATTTTCTAGTTATTAGCTTGTAAATTGGGTTTTTCATAGAAAATGATATGGCAATGGTTTTCTCGCTCCATTTCCCTAAAACCCATGAGCAAAACGAACAAATGAAAAAGAAAGCTACAAACAACGAAATCCTACGTGGCAACAATGAGGCTTCCAGGAAATTAGGTTTCTTAGTGTTTTTTTAACCAAACATGCTCTAAATTTATTAAGAAATAAGTTTCTTGGAATAGCGGTTAGTATTAGGTCTCATGTTTATAAGTCTACTATCTAATTTAGTTTTGATGATTAACAAATAATTCCTAACATTATTTGTCGAGTGTTTGTATTTGGTTGTTAGGTATTCTACATAAAGATCCTCCAGTTGGAGGTTGGTTGGAATTGAGTGTTAGGTATTCTACACAAAGATCCTCCAGTTGGAGGTTGGTTGGAATTGAGCTTAACGATGATATTTAAAGGAGATTGGTAGAATCGGAATGAAGCATGATACAATTCAAGCCGAAGTCATTATCGCTTCATCTGCAACCATGATGAGCTACTTTGAAGACCTATTGTTTGTGTATAGTGTTTTAGGTCTATACTTTGTGTGTTTATATTTAGAGCTCAAATATTACACACATACACGTTTTTGGTTTATCGTTTTCAAGTTTAACTGTATAAATATGAAACAAAAGATATATTGATATACATATACGTTTGTTTCATGTTTATCATCTTTGTTTTGAAAATAATATGTTTATAGATTAAAGACTTATTTACACTATTTTATATATTTCCTCAAGTCTATTAGTCTATTGAAAAGTATTTCAAAACTTGTTTGGATTGATTTCATCAAAAATCAAGTTTTAACAAGTTCTTGTGTTTTACCGATTTGCAAAATAATGTGCTTTGGATTAAAGGCTTAATATAACTGTTGTACATCTTTTATAAAGTCCATTAATCCATTCAAAAGAAGTTTCAAACTTGTTTGAAATCATTTTGTACAAAATCAAGCGTTTTGAGATTTCGTATTTTGACCGATTTTGCAAAATGATAAGTTTTCACAAACGGTGAATGATATTTAAAAAATTACTTTTCTAACATGTTTATATTCATGTTTATAAATATTTTCCCAAGTTTCATAATTTTTAGAATTTATTTACTATTTTTAAATATACTTTGAAAATCAGATTTACTATTCAAACTAGCCATTGTGCATGTTTTCAGTCGACTGACAAAGATCATCAGTCGACTGAAGAAACCCGCTGGAATTACCATTTATTTCTTCTTAGTCGACTGATCACCATCAGTCGACTGAAGAAACCCACTGGAATTGCCATTTGTTTCTACTTAGTCGACTGATCCCCATGAGTCGACCGAAGCAGCTCATCAGTCGACTGATGGTGCATTAATCGACCGACCGGCTTTGAGTGGCAGCTAACAATCAGCACATCAGTCAACTAAATTGTATCATCAGTTGATTGACGGCTACTGTAAAGGCTAGTTTCTAGTTTCCTGATTTTTCAGGGATTTTGTTGGATTTTTCTGGGTTTTTGGGGTTTGTTCTTAGAACCTATATCTACCTCTCAGCCTCAACATGTTGAATCACCTAAGAAAAGTTTAATACAAGTTTTGGCTATTTTGTTTAAGTGTTTTAAAGAGGTGTTTCAAGTTTTCTTATGTGAAGATAGTTTCACAGAAAGAAGGATTCGATTTTCAATATTGAGGAGTTCATCCTCAACCATTTACATATCTTTGATTGTGAAGTTTTCTGAACTCCTTTTATCTAGCTTGTTCATATTTTGATTATTACAGTTATTTACTAGATCAATTTGAGTTTAGTTTTATTATTACTTATCATTTTCACACACAACCACTTGAGCTTAAGTTATTTTCACA